TGAATTCGCGGGAAGCTAGCTGCCAGTTGGCAATATAAGTAAAGCAGGCAGCGTGCCTGGCCAGTGCTTAGGTGGCTCTCGCGCCGAGATGATATTTGATTTGAAAGTCGCGCAGTACATTCGCGGTAAGGTAAAATAATTTAATAATGGCCGCACCGTGAACCTTTTCTATAAATAACGTTCTTTGAAGTAGCCATATAACTTTTAGGGCGAATGAAATATAAATAATTACAAGGGCAGTACTAGTTATGTGAAGTGAGTTTTATAATCAACTTAATATGTAGTATTTATATGTATGTACGTATAGTTTCAAAAATACTATAATTATATAAATTATTTTGTATATGTTTCGAAATGAATCTTCATACAATTAATCTCTTCGTTTCATTAAAGTGGCATCGCTGCAGATTTTCAATGCTAACGAAGAAGAGGCACACAAAATGAGTATAAAAAATGGCGGCGAAATTGAAGCGACAAGCTACAAAGTCATTATACCAAGCTCTTAGCTGACAACGACGGCGCACAAATTCAAAAATACTTTGAGTGGCGAATGGAGAAATAGAATTGAAAGAAAATCATTGCCTGAAAATTTTGTGGAAACGCGCACATTGAATAGAATTAATTAGTCGGACGCATATACGTGCACCGTTAAAATAATAACACTATATGTATGCAAATATTTTTTGTTGATTCAATTTAGACTGAATAAAAGCGAATTAAGGATAAAAAGCAAGCTGGTTCATAGGATGTAAACATTTTTTATTTGCTGAAAAAAATTGGACAATAAGTTTTGAAAAAATATCCAAATAGAATTAAAAGTGCATTTGGACCAAGTAAAAAAGAGTAGCGAGCAAAGAAAGCAGTAAAGTAAAAGTTATATTGCGCAATGGCTACTTTTCAAATTCRTCAAGACGCCGAGAAGGAAAATCCCCATATAGCTGTTCCACTAAAAGAAAAACATTTAGTTACCTGTAGCAACAGAGTGAATGTTCTACAACCATCTGGATTTGGTGGGGTCACCGTCCCAATCAAAGGAAAGCTTGGTGATGGTGTTAGTCGCACTAATTTTGCTGTGCTAAATGCAAATAACAATGTGGCACATGGACGTAATATAACTAGTGTTACAGCAGGTAGCAAAGTGGTAAGTATTTTCACAAAACTCACTTGTTAGTGTTTCTTTTAGGTTTTTAATATTATTTTTTATATTAGTGGTAAATTATTAAAAATAAATATATACTTGTAACAGGACATGTAAAAAACCACTAAAATAACGGGTTCCTACTCAAAACTCTTATCCAACACAAATATAGAGATTTATTTGTATTTTGTGAAAATTCAAATATTTCATTGTTTCAGGCTTTTCGTGAAGTGGGGAATGCTAAATCGCATAATGACAATAATTCAGTGTTTGCAGCTGCAGCTATTAAGCAAAATGTAGTAGAGCAGTTCAAATCATTTTCAGTTTATGAGGATCAACCAGATGAGAGTTTGCAGACATATTGTTTCGGTGCTAACAATGCATCAATTTCTCTTGCTAATGGAAAGGAAAATATATATTTTGATCAACAAAATAATCCAAATAAAAATGACTATAAGCAGTAAGCGGTTGGTTAATCTCACTTAATTTCTGGGTTAACTATTATTCATCTTTACAGTGATGGTCCGCAGAAAGATAATAAAGTATATAACGACTGCCTTTTGGATACCACGCCAATGTCAGTATCAGAGGTTCTTTCACCAATGTCCGTAGACCGTTCCCAAGTGGGCATTGCTCAACAATCGGAATCGCAATTGATTGATGTTGACAATGACGATAAAAAGAGTACTGAWACAACCACAGAGGAAGGGGAACAACAGCGGCATCTTATTATTCCCCGTAATGATCGTCAACGCTTCTTTGAAGTGGTGGAATATCAAAAAAATATATTGGAATATTTCCATGAAAGTGAGGTATGTATGTTGTGTTCAAGAATTTAGAAATCCAAAAAATGATTATGTTTTAAAGTTGTCTCCAAAACTTGGTGCAACTGTTGAGGGCTATTTTGAAAATATAGTTCCTTATACATATTTTCATAACTGAAAGAAGAAATTTACTCGATGCAGATTTTAAATACGAAACGATTAGCCCAAATACATATTTTTCAAATATCTTTTGTGGTTTCCCGCCACATGAGTGTTTCACCCCCTAGCATTGAACATAAGGGATGATTTGCTCAGCTGCTGTCATTCATTTTTAATTTCGTATTTGGTTGAGGGTAAGCACATTGTAACAACATGGCAATTTCTCTAAAAACTAAAAATAGTTTAATGGAAAAATATATTGAATTGAAGCAGGCTCTTGCTATTTTTTTCAAAAAACATTAATTTATTTTTAATATTAGATTTTGATAGAACAATTTAAAAAAAATCAACGTGAAGTTTTGTTGAACTGGTCGTAAAACTCTTTAGATACAAAATTTTTGTTTAAATCCTTATTCGACATCTCGTTTTGCTTTCTTTGCTCCACTGCAAGACGCGCATTATAACGTATGTGATCGTCCAGTAATTGTTTTTGATTTCTTTCCAACTCTAACTGCTTTAACATCAATTCTCGATCCATATTTAGAGCATACTGTTCCCACTGTTTGTCCATAAGCTGTTGATCAATTTGCTTTTTCTTGTTGGTAATTTTTTGTTGTAACTGTTCCTCATGGAATTTAGCCAATGCATCAGCAGACATACCTCGGTACATAAAGGCAATTTTTTTTGTTGGATTTGTCCTTGACTGTGCTGCATCCGGGTTTTCAGTAAGCATATCACTAGTGAGCATATTATAGATTTCAGCTAAATCGTCTTCGTTGTTTTCTTTTTTTTTACGAATACGATCGAATCTTTTAGATTTTGCTAATTGCGTGTTATAATCATAAATAGCTGCTGTCATTTGGTTACGTATTTTCCGCTCTGAATTTGCCATATCCTCAAGACGTTTATCCCGAGAAGCAATTGATTCCTGCATTATTAAATCGGCCTTGAAACGATCCTCTTCAGCTTGCTTGCGTTCTTGAACTTGTTGATCTAACCATGCACGTTGCTGAGCCCGCTGGCGCAATTTTCGTTCACTATAGCCCAGATCTTCACCTGAGAAAATTTGTGCACTAGAAATTCCAAGGCGTACATCGTTGTCGGCMACGCGTGCCGGTAAAGCTCTTTTGATCACATTTGGATCGTTTAAATCAAATTCACGGCGCTGATCTTTACGCTGAAAACGACAGCGATAATAATTGAGATCTGCTTCGGCAACACGCTTTCGTTTATCCATTTCTAGAGACTTTGCATAAATTGCCAGTTGCTGGCGCTGGGTTTGGTCTTCATAACGCCGTTCGCATTCAGCTTCAACCTGCCTTTGCTTGTTTTTTTCCGCAATTTGTCGTTCCAGTGCGCCCAAATCCAACTATAAAAAAAAATTAGATTAGGGTATTAGGGAATGAAAACTGTAAAACCTACGCCGAAGAGTCTCTGTTTAGCATTGAATATCCTGTTTTTCCGGTCATTCTCAAATTGTAAACGCCTTTGCAGTTTAGCGGACTCCTTTATATCATCCTTAGTCGCAATTGGAATCTTAAACATATGGAGTTTACTCTTTCAATAGAAAAGTTTCCCAAAATTTATAATATAATTTATAATATGATATACACACAACTAAAAAATAAAGTATTTGTTATCAGTTATTTGTTGAAAAGTTCACTAGCTACTGACTGAATATATGTACATTTTTTTTTTAAAGTAAAAAGTAATAAACTAAGGTTTGTTTGTTGGTAGCTGGGCAACGCGTACTGATATGTATCTACAAATTATTGAATAGTGAATCCTTAACAAGTTATGACGCTCGCCATTTCAAACTATTTAGGATCATGAATTTTTAAGAATTACTATAATAACTTCTAAATAGTATAATTCTTATATAAAATTTTACAGAAAAAACATCGACCCAAGCCGCACTACATGCGCCGCCAGGCCGACATTAATCATTCAATGCGTACGATTCTCGTAGATTGGTTAGTTGAAGTGTCTGAAGAGTACAATTTGGATACAGAAACACTATATCTTTCCGTTTCTTATATTGATCGATTTCTCAGCCAAATGTCTGTGGTACGCAGCAAACTGCAGTTAGTTGGTACCGCAGCCATGTACATTGCATCGTAAGTTTGAAAGTAAAACCTACATTTGGCAATATTTATATATATGTTATTTTTACAAATGTTATTTATGTAACTAAATATATTATTTTTTTATTAACAAAATATATAGAAAGTATGAAGAAATCTACCCTCCAGATGTTGGTGAATTTGTATTCATTACCGATGATACCTATAATAAAGCCCAAGTTTTGCGAATGGAGCAGATTATTTTGAAAATTTTAGCATTTGACTTATGCACGCCAACTGCGTATGTGTTTATCAACACTTATGCTGTATTGTTAAACATGACAGATAAGCTAAAATGTCTAACTCAGGTTAGAGAAATATTTTTAACAATATACGAAAAATATTTATAATTTATGTTTGTAGTATATTTGTGAATTATCACTTTTGGAAGCGGATCCGTATTTACGATTTCTACCATCATTAATGTCGGCTGCTGCTCATGCACTTGCTAGGCACCTATTGGACTATACAATTTGGAATTCAGAATTAGAAGAGATAACATCGTATAAATTAGAAGACCTCAAAGAGGTAATATTACACCTCTCTAAATCACACAAAGCGGCCACTAAACTTGCGCAGCAGGCCATACAGGAAAAATACAGGGCAGATAAGTAAGTATACTAGATTAACCAAAGTTTATAAAACAATATATGTATATTTAAAAAAAAAATATAACAATTTATTTAAGGTATAAAAAAGTTTCAAACATCAAACCTGTTGAACTGGACGATGAAGCATTCGAACTTCTAGTACGTAAAAATAATGGTTTATTTAGCAATGAAGGGACCAATCTTGGAAAGATATCAACGAATTCAAGCAATGAACATTTACAGCGAACAATTTCTTTGATGTTCAACTGATATGTATTATAGGTGACACATTGGAGTTCGTATGTTATGAATTAGTGTTAATTGAAAAACGCTTAATTTTTGTTCGTATTTTATTTGTTCCCCGTTTTGATTTTTGTACAGAGGCTTGACTATCTTTTTTATCAAGCAACCGTTTAGCACGGTTACTTAAGATCATTATATTTTTAAATGCATACAGATTGTAAGAAATGCAGAATTTCCTCTAAATGTAAATTATAAATACTCTGTTATGATACTGTGAAAGTTAAAAAACACGCGATCTAAAATTTATTTTTTTAATTAAAAGTATTTTAGGTCAACTTTCAATTTATTTTATGGGTTGTCATTTTGCTAAAATCAATCACGGTTGCTTGAATATTATAGTAATGCCATTTAAGTGCATGTATCTAAAAATAAAACATACCCATAATCTTTATATTTTTTTTAGTATTTTTAGTTGTTATTTGTGCTTTTAAATTATTTTATTCCCTACACTACATAACAAATCGATGTTAAACAAATTTAATCCACAGAAATATTGAAATTATATAAGTAGAAAAGACGATTTGTCACAAAAATAATATATATAGTAATGCGAAATTCAAATATTAATTAATAAAACCCACAACATTAATAATAAAATATTCACACTAGATATAAGGTCTAGTAAAAAGAAATATATTATATTTGCACTAAATTGATCCGGTTTAAGCGAAAAAGAAGAAAGCCGTCATCCGATTGGCAGAAAACTGGGACAGTCTATTTTCATAAGCTCCTTTGAAAATGCTTTTTCACAAGCAAAATCATTCGCCATGGGCAGAAACAAGTAGTAATCACTTTTTGCAACGAACAACAAAGCTTATGGAGCACCAAACACACAGCAAACCCTTCCTGCAGTCTTCACCAGCAACCATCCGCTTCAGAAATTTGGAGTATGCACATCATTGACTACTACAGTATAGGGACCTAAAGGCTATTCACATTTGCAGCGACCTTACGATTTTTCCTTCGTCGAAACGATTTCATTTGTATTTAAATTGGTGCATTCAGTATTTCAATGTAATAAAATTAATTTAAATTTTGTTCCTGTATTAGTTTATATTTTTAATATGAATTAATATAATATATTTTTAAATAATGTTAGTTATTTACATTCCCTGTATTTAAAATTTTTATAAAATAATTGAAATATACATTTAAAGAAATAAATAAAAACATATACCGAAAATTTACTACCTTTAGTTAACACTAATTTTTAGACATTACAAATATTCAGAAGTTTATTAAAGTGGAAACGTAAAATAGTAAAAAAAAAGGAATTCATTAAAAAATTTTAGCAATAATTATTTTAGATGATTACTAAATGCACCATTTTGCCATTTAGACATTGTTAATTATAACACCATATTTCGTTGAAGTCTTTTCATATATACCCTTAATTTACAAAAAGTTTATATCGTGTCAAGGTCTGTTTTACGTAATTATTTCAATTATTGGAATCTTTGCAATGTAGACTATTTTGGAGACATAATAAATTTTAGTAGACATTATTTGCTGTACCTGTCGAAGGCTAAAATGTGATATAGTCGAGCTTCAATTGTTTACTTATATACAATTTGTATCATCTAATATCAATCGTTTCTCTTCTTTAAATGAATATTTTTAAGAACACTAAAAATTGCTTAATCCGCTATATAGCGATCTTCGGAGCTGATGGAGATATTACTTTTATGGCGAAATATTCAAGTTATTTCTTGCAAATATTTTTCCTATTGTCTATACCAATGTTTTTCTTTCGAAAAACTATTACTAGAGATATAAGAAACGAGTTTATTGCAAAATAATAAAATTAATTATTTTTTAATTTATGATTTTCTTTACAACTCAATAAGTTTTTACAATGCGTTGATAGTCATTTACGTAATGAGTCTGCAATTTGACTATATATTTAACCAACAGCATTAATAACAAGATAATTAACATTCTATTGCATATGCACATTTATAATTATATAGTACTTTAGTGCATATTATATTCAGGAATATGGACGATTGTATAATAAACTTAATTTGTTTATGTATTTTTAATATGCGAATCTGGTATCTGGATGAAATTCCAATTTATCTAAAGCTGGATTACAAGCGAAATTTATCATCGGTGGTGGACCGCACATTAACACCAAAGTATCTCCAGAAGCTGGGAAAAGATGTTGTTTAATCATGTCATCGTTTATAAAGCCTACATCATATATCCAGCCTGTGTAATAAATAAAGATTTAGTATTAACTACCGCTATAATACTTGATTTATTTACGTATTTACATTGTCAATTAAAGTTTTATACCTGATAAAAGTTTAACTATACATTTTTTACGTTATACGTTTTTCCATTTAGTAACTAAAACGCATATCAGCATGATGACCGATGCGCTCCAAGCCGGGTATACAAGTATAATTGACCATCGGTGGCGGACCACACAGTAAGCAAAGCGTGTTTGAACTCGGCGAAAAAAGTTGAGAGCGCATCATTTCATCATTGACATAGCCAACATTATATGGCCAGACTGATATAAAAATTATCCAAAAGCAGCATTTAAAAAGAAAATAAATTATTGCTTCAGATATTAATCGAAAAATCAAAGGAAGCACACAATAAACACTAAATATTTTCTATTTTCAAAACTGTCATCTGATGTAGCGAATATGGTCAATATTGCGGCCTGAGAAATTAAACAACAAATGCTTTTTCATTATATATTTATGTTGTTCCTTATTTACTCAAATAATTTATCCGCGGGTAAAGCCACATGCACGAGTAAAGCAGCGGCGGGTCTAGAACCCTGGTGATGTTTTGATATCGCAGTTAAATATTTATAAAAGCGACATAAAAATGTGTGAATATTAGTATACTGCACATAAATATACAAGTCATAAGTTTTTAATTCAACAAATTTAACGATTGTTTAAGGTAGAAGGTGTGCTTTTATAAGTCCAATCATTGTATTTATAAATAATATGCATATAGAAGTATTTATATTTACCTTCAGAAGCTTTATCAATCGTATACCACACCTTTAATTGATCTGGATATTTTTTGACTAAATCGTCCAATTCGTTACGCAACAAAATATCGGCTTCACTCTAAACGGAACAAATAGCCACAATTCAAGAAATATTAAATTATTTTGTTTGTCTTACCTGATTGGCAAATAATAAAGCAAGTTCTGTTTTGTCTTTATCATTGTGTTTTAGAACATCCCGTATTAGCTGTAACATTGGTGTAATTCCAGTGCCACCTGATATCATATTTACACGCTTTGCTATAACGGTCTTTGGTGGATCTTTTCGAAGCTTCTTAACTTGAAAACGGCCTTGGCCTTGATATTGTAATCGGCCGGAAGGACCACGGAAGGAGATTTTATCGCCGATATTCATTTGATCTAAATATTGTGTCATTTTGCCACCTCCTGGGAATTTTGGATGAACATTCCTAAAATATACTTTAATGACCAAATCGACATAACCAACGTCATCATCACTAGATATTGGAGTATAAGGACGAATGACCAATTCGTTATTTATGGTTGCGATCAAATGAATGTGCTGTCCAACTGGCAATCCAAGAACATGTTGATTCGATGGTAAACCAAACCGAAAACGTCGAGTATCGTGGCTAAGAATTTCTTTTTCAATTAATGGCAACTGATATTTGTCATTTGGATCAACTAGTGTGCGCAGGCGAGCGGTGCGATTGGGTTCAGGTCGTGGTTTCGACGATTTCTTATTAAGAATGTAATTAATGATAGCAGCACCCACCACCACAGTTGCAATACCAACTACAATTGGAACTAACTATTTTAAAAAAATTTCAATTAGTAAAACAATTATCAATAAATAAATGATATACACATTGTTACTTAAAAAAAATTAAGTAATGAAATAATTAATACAATTATATAAAATTACTGAAAACTTATTAAAGACATAAGTACACAAATATATTATAGTATATAAAGGTTATTATAATGTGCAATATGAGGTGAGTGTATAATGTCCAAAGTGTTCGTTTCTTATCTTGATATTTGTACGTTATCTCTTTGGAAATCTTAACGAACAATTTTTTCAGCAATAACTATATATTATTAAAAATTAATTTGTAATAAAGAAATGGTACTTTGTCAGTTGCATAATTACAAAACTAGTTTAATAATGGAATTTCGACAGAGTTTTTAACTACGAAACCAAAATAAATTAATATAATATATATTTAGGAACGTGTATTTATTATTATTATTATTATTATTATTATTATTATTATTATTATTATTATTATTATCCATATATACTGAATATTTATCACAAAAACTCTGAGATTGAGACTCTCACATGTGTGTTAACTTTCAGAATTTGCACAAACAACTATTTTTTGTTTAAGTACATGTTTTGCTTACATCTAAATCAGCCATTTTTGTGATTTTACACCACACGTATATAAATAATGATGAACTTTAACACACCAATTCACTAGACTTCTATTAGAAATAACCGCGTTAAATTTGAAATGTGCTTTTTCGTCTGATTGCTTGTTTTTCTCTATTTTAACGTGAATGCATAGCGGGCTAAAAACATAGAGCTCGTCAAAAGCAGCTGTTAGCTATGCCGGCTCTCACTCCACTAAGGTTACTGGAACAACTACAGCTATTAGTTAAAATAGAAATACAAATATTGCTTACATATATACAAATGCACATACACATATATACTACATATAAAAATAATTGTTTAGCATTGACACACGTAATGATGAGTTTTGCTTTTTCGAGCAAATTATATACATAAAAAACAAATAAAAATGAAGAAAATATGAGTATTATACAATGTTCTCTTAAATTATTAAAAACGATAGCGTACATATACATACATATGTATTTGTTTGAGCCAACAATGTCTCTTATACGCATGAATAGCTTGAATATTAGTCCAAAATTGATGTGTTATACTTTTCTTAACTCAACAAAGCGGTTTTTTCCAGTCGATTAGTTTTGCTTGTCAGCAGTTTAAATTATATTACGGCTTTGTTGATAAACTAAACATATATCGATTCTTATTCATGAACACCAGTCCTTGAAGTTCATTTCAACGTGTTATTATATAATACTTTATTATCAGTTATATTCGTAACTTTAAAGATTTTTTATGTTTCCGAATTTATAATGCATTACTATTTTACAAATACATCGAGTAATTTTATATTTTCTCATTAGATAGTTTAACATACATACATAGGGGTATATATGAAATTTCGTAAGTTACGTATACATTCGTACGTTATTATGTCAGGACTTACATGCGTTTCGTATAACGGACGAGCCATTGTTAAAATATAAATATTAAAAGTCGTTGTTTGAAGATGTAGATATATATTCCTACGTCATCCAATTATTCGCTATCAACTAGTAACTACAACGTCCCAAAGGCACTACAGATTTGAATTATACAAATAATTATATCAATATATGGACGACTAAACAAATGTTTACCTAGGTATCTTATAATGTTGTTATTTGTGTGTAATATTCCTTCGTGCCTTTTAATCTTTGCCGTAATAAGCACTTTCCATTTGAGGATGTGGAGTATTGCACTGAAAGAGAAATACGTAGAGATATTCATAATTTGTACAAAATTTACGTCACAATTTAATGATTTGTGGAATGAAATTGGTAGATGGAATTTTCTGTTCGATATTTGATTTGTTGTACAAAATTTACGTCACAATTTAATGGTTTATGGAATGAAATTGGCAGATGGAAATTGAGGTTCGATATTTCTACTGTAATATCGATTTTACAACCGAGTTGATTACAGAACAAAAACGAAGAATTGTCCACGCTTATTTCGTAATGATGTGGGAGGATGGAAGAAATCTGCAGAACATATGCTACTCTATAATTATTCTTCCTCAGTTGTTGCCTTATTATACATGTACATAGGTATGTATATCTGGCACGAAATATAATATACAACAACAAAATGATGGGTATAATATATATACATACATAAACTTACTGGTCCAATTCTTTAATTACGTATTGAGTACTGTCAAATTTTATATTTTTACTTTTCTTGGATTAACAGCTATCCCTTGTGCTCTTCATTTATGTCGAAATATCGATGATAGTTGGCACGGACTAACATTAACAAAACCACATCGAGCTAATTGGAATGTAATGATTCTTAAGGAATGTTTATGGATTTATTAATTGGGGTGAACGAAAGGATAGAAAATTACTACATTATTATTCATTATTTCATTTAATTTCCAATTTCTTTACATGGAAAGAGTGCATTGAAGTCTGGCCGTACTTACAATTTCTAGCGGCTTTTACCGGTATACATTTAAGCACATTTATAAATAAGAGATTGGTTCACGAACCCTTGTAAAATTTCAAAAACATTTTATTACACTATAAAATAATTTAAAGAAATACTGCGCGGGCATTTGACTTTTTCTTACAATTAGAAAATTTGGAGCTGAATTAATTATTTCTATTCTTTCAACTTTTGTTCTGTTTGTTTTCATTGTTTTTCACATTTTTTCCTATATTTCGTACATTAGGGCGAGATATACTAAATAAAATTTTCGTTCTTTGAGGCTATATAACAGTTGCAGGTCTCACCATATTGGTCCTTGGATATTGCATTCTATTATGAAGATTCTTTTTAAAGGATTACGCATATCGATTTTGAAAAAAAATTCTACGACAAGGGTAATTTTCGTTGTAACAGAGAATTCACACAAATTTTATAAAAAGTCGTGGTAGCTGCTTTAACGTATGGACAGATGGCGCGAAGAGTGACCAGCTGTTGGTAATAGTGTTTCAGTGTTTTAATAAACGTCAATTGGAACGGATTTAACAAATTTGGGCAGCAATCGTTCTTTCTCACATTGTTCGTCGTAAGGGGCAGACATGGCGTAAGTGCTGACTGTTGTTTTAGATTTTTTTTCTTTATAAATTAATATAAAGTACCTGCAATCCAAAACCAGCTTCTTGGTTTATTAATAATCTCTTGTAGTTTGGAAATGGTTGCTATATTAAAGTTAAAATTTTTGGCATAATTCTAAAGGTTATTCTCGTTTAGAATTTTAGCTTAAATTTTAAACAATTAAAATTTAGAATGTATGCAAATATACCGAAATATTTTGAACTATGACTTATATGTTTCCTCCTTTCTTTTTTTAACAGGTCGAAAGTGTCTCGCGATACACTCTATGAGTCGGTTAACGCAGTTTTGGAATTCTCCCAAAAGAAGAAGCGTAGATTTTTGGAGACATGTGAACTGCAAATTGGTCTTAAAAACTACGATCCTCAAAAGGATAAGCGTTTCTCCGGCACTGTCAAGTACGTGGGTAGCACCTGAGTTGATTTGTGATATGTGGTTATGCAAAACAATGCATTACACATGGTTCATACAACTCAGGTAGCCAATAGATATAAGCTGTAAAGTTATCTCTTGGCGGACCTCTACTCAGGGTCTTAAAATCAAATTGAGTAGGTCTTTTGACCGATTTTTAGTTTTAAGATAGAAAAAATGATGAACTGTGTAAGTTTAGGTTATATGATTACAATTCATTGTTCGATGTGATGTTAGAAAATATTTTGCATGTATTACCTGAAAACCATAAGAGCCTTTTGGTTTATTTGTGGATAGAAATGACTGATCAATATTGAATATGAACTTGTGTTTGATATATATATGAATACATCTTATAAAAATATTTCTCTTGATTAATAGATTGAAGCATATCCCACGTCCCAAGATGAAGGTGTGCATTCTCGGTGACCAACAGCATTGTGACGAAGCAAAAGCTAATGGTGTGGAATGCATGGATGCAGAGGCTTTGAAAAAACTAAATAAAAACAAAAAATTAGTGAAAAAACTAGCAAAGTCCTACGATGCGTTTTTGGCTTCAGAATCATTGATTAAGCAAATTCCTCGTTTGTTGGGTCCAGGTTTGAATAAGGCTGGTAAATTCCCTGGTCTGTTGTCGCATACAGAGTCCATGATGGCTAAAATTGAAGAAGTGAAATCGACCATCAAGTTCCAAATGAAAAAGGTATTATGCTTATCCGTCGCTGTTGGTCATGTGGATATGAAGCCAGATGAGTTGGTGCAGAATATTCATTTGTCAATTAATTTCTTGGTTTCGCTTTTGAAGAAAAATTGGCAGAATGTGCGTTCGTTGCACATCAAGTCGTCTATGGGACCACCACAACGTTTGTACTAATGAAAAATATTTTATGTACGCCGTTTATATTTCTTTGGAAATAAATGTGTAATGTAAAGATTTTTTTGTAATTTTTTGAAAGATACGGGTGCGTTGATAAACTCTACAGTTGCGCTTTTGAGTTGAATTCCTAAACTATTTACATTGGGAGCAAAAATATTTTCCACTATCATTTGTATAATTACAATTTAAATTTCTGAAGAATTATTTGTTCAAGTTGAATGTACGCTATGTTTATGGCAATTTCAATAACCTTCTGGTCATGAGCGAGACTGTTTGCAAGATGTCCCACTTCATAATTTGGTAATATACTTACAAGATTGGCCAATACATAATTTTTGAGTTTGTTTACTTTCGAGTTTCAACGTTTATTTTTTAATGGATGTCACTTAATTTAGATATTGGAAGGAGTTCGAAAAAATTTTTTTCTAATTCCAGTAGATGTTGCATAAAAGAAGAGCGCAGTAATGACTGGCGCCGTTGCATACGTTGTTGATATCTACGACGATTAATAAGAACTGTTCGTTTGAAAACCATCAGAAGATTTTTACATTTCTCCAAAAGTTTGCGTCGGGTTCTTAAATTCTTTTCATGAGTAAATTTAATTGCCAATGATTGAAATTGAAGAGACAAAGATGAAGCAGTATTTTCTGCAAAGCCTTCAGAAATCATGCCCCCTGAAAGTTTTTCGATTACACAAATTTAGAATTCCTTTAAAATATTCTTAAGTTACCTTCGATGTCCATTATTCATCGATATATAGCAATAATAGCTTCCTGTGGAAAGACGAAAATAATTATTTTATAGGCATAGAAGTTCGGAAATAATAAACTTCAGTCAAAGAGAATTTACTTCATTTCGATATTTCCAACACAGTTGCATATTAAGCACGTATGAATATGTTGATTTACACGGTATTTGTCAAAATAGAATTTAGGGTTGTATTTTTATTTTATGTGGTGTTTGTAAATTGGGTTTTCGAAATGTGGCCAAATATACCCTGGATGATTATGATTCTTATTATTGAAATAGAGCATCTTAAACTAGATTATTAGCGGGATTCTGTAAGCAATCTCTAATCTCTATTTGAGACATTTTGTGGTAAAATCTCAATTTGTGACTAGTTACTATTCACTAAACAGTCTCTAGCTTTAGCCTCAAAATATTGCCTCAAATTTGAGACCTGGTAGTTAGCAAGTCACAAAACCAAAAAGAACTCTTGTCTGCCATTTTGAATATACTCAATAGAGATCATCATAGATATTAATCGGTTGTCGGTTTTTTATATTTTGTAAGCAACTCAAACACAAAAAGTTAAAAATAAATCAATTTTACAAAAATTTCGAAAATATTATGGAACAAAGTCAACATATATTTTTATTTTGATTGATAATTATGTTTTTTGACTATGTTATAGAAAATTTAATTATTGTTATCGACATATTAATTTTCATTCAAGTTTAAAAGCATCTCTGAATTATTAAATGTAATAGATTTTGGGACTGTCACTTACAGAATAGCAAAATCGTCTCAAGTCTCAAAAATTGTCTCTATCAAATTTATAGACCTGATACTGTATCAAAGTACGGAATCGCACAGTATGTATGCTATGCTGTGCCTTGAACAAAATTCGACTTATTATACATATGGGCATATGTTATGTTCACTTTGTTTCCTTGTTTTCGTCTGTCAAACAGAGAACTTTGAATTTTCATTAGGCGTTCTCTCTTTCGACTGTCATCTGACATGCCTTTGAACAAAATTCGTAGAGAGCAATAGCAGAGAACGTAAAGTCTGGCAATATGTCAAAATTTGTGGTTTCGCTGCAATTAAAACGATTTTTTACATATGTACACATCTGATATATGTACGCATTCGTTTTGGATGTAATTGAACTGCGAAACAAATTTCGCACTTATCATTTTGGATGGTCATATTTATTGCTCAGTGGCCATAAATTGGTGTATAAAGTGAAAAGTTAGGAAAACGTTGTTTAGAATTTAATCTTTTGAAAATTTAGTTATTTTCTGGTTGTGTGTAATACATTATTGCGTTGCTTTTAATAATTGGAACGTACAAACGTTGTGAAAATATAGCACATGATATGCTAATGAGTGAAATAAACAGTCAATCTTGAAGTAATTTGATTTTATTCTCTATCTGAAAACGTATTATGGAGAGAAATGTTTTTAAAGATATATGCTATAATTTGTAACCAGGATAACACTGAAAAATTCGATTTTGCATTTCCCGTGTATTCGTGAATGATTAAATAAAACCCAATATATCAGATGCGAAAGATAACATATAGTAAACAATAGAATTAGCAAATGAAAAATTGATTTTTCCACATAAATGTAACAGCAATATTCCTATATGTAAAATAATTGAATATATATTGAAATCATTTCATCCATTTTTAGTGTTGAATAAGTAAAACGTCCATTTTGACGGATTATAAACATGTACTAGTTTATTTTTTTTCTTACAATTAATGACATACATAAGTGTTAAATATCAGTTGTTTTCGTAACGATTGCAAACAGATGTACTAAAGAGTAAATAAGATTGTAGTACTTTCATTCCATTTCGGTGTAACATAATGAACATTGTCGGAGAATATGAATATAGTTCGAAGGATATGCTTGGCCATGGCGCTTTTGCCGTCGTATATAAGGGACGTCATCGTAAGGTATGTGTAATTTGTACCTTTGAGGCACAATATTTAACTATTTAAGTGACAGAACATTTGATAACAAATACATATAAAACAAAAACTTGTGGAATCTGGAGAATTTATTTCTTGACAATAATTCGAGGAGAATGTATTCTTTTATATAAAATACATCTGTAAATATGCAGAAATATTTTTATATACCTTTGTATTTATGCTTTTGTATTAAATTCTTATACATCCGTACATATGTATATTTTACATCATGTGTTGAACTTCAGTTTTAAAGGGCAGAAGATGCTCCCACTTCGTAAATATGAATACATATACCTATTTGTATACATATATATTCTGTCATGCTGTAATGGAAGTGGAGAATAATAATTATTATATACATTGAATGTAAAAATAAAAACAATACTTTTGGATTAATACGTACGTATGTATATATGGCTGTATTGAAATAAAAAATTACGGTGAATGATCAATTGCTCTAAATAAATTTCTGATATCGGTTGCTAATCTGTGTACTGAGATACAAGGACATACATGTAAGGTGGACTTAGCCTCCGAAGAGGATTATTGTATCTGGCTTATGTTCAAACCTGTCTCTGAAATGCATAGCACTTCACTGAAGTGCGATTTACAAGTGTTCCGTACACGAAACACATTGACTCGGCTTCAACCACAAGGATTATCAGGTTGGTGGGGCTAAAAACCTATTTGTAAAAAGGGAAGATACAAATGCCACTGGCCCCAAGGCACACCTTGATTAATTTCTAATTCCAAATGTGTATTTTTATACTTCAATTAAATTTGTGTATTTTTTCAGAAACATTTTCCAGTGGCTATTAAATGTATAACTAAAAAGGGATTGATTAAAACTCAAAATTTACTTGGAAAAGAAATAAAAATCTTGAAAGAATTAACAGAGTTGCATCATGAGAATGTCGTGGCGTTGTTGGACTGTAAAGAATCACAAGACTGCGTCAACTTGGTCATGGAGGTAAGTTTTTAATTTGTATTCAGAAAGTGACTAAAAAACTGCATATTTATTTTTTGCCAAGATAAATATTCTTTAATATTCAATTACTGTAGTTTTTCGTAAATTCTATTGTCATAGCTTAAATTAATGCAATTGCAATGCAATATCGATCGTCATATTTGTCAAATTATCAGTTTAAACTTCTACCTATCCAAAGTTTACCCTGACATACCAAATAAAAGTCCTGCATGCAAAGATTCCCGCAAGACTATAACCACCTCTGTGCATGCCTAATGAATCCCACTCATTTGACATCCCTCTCCCTATGGTCCGATACGGTCGAAACAGCATGTTTCATGTCGTTATAAATCGTTATAACAATACCATTGTCAAATCAGCTATTACATCTTAGAATGTAAGTTTGGGAAATCTTACCTCTGTATATTCTGTCATGTGAACGGTGTTGTTATGAAAACGCAACATACTTTCGGGAGCATATGAAATTTTATAATCAGAATTTTATTATAAAATTTTT